GAATTGCAGTAATCAAGCCTAGATGTAATGAATGCATGTATTACTGTCTCCAGGTTCTTTTTGGACAATATGGGCTTCAGTTTAGACAGCCGCCTCAGTTGGAAGAAACATGATTTAATCATGTTTACATGATTGTTAAGTTTCAGGGAAGGGTCCATTATCACGCCCAGATTAGTGACTCTTTGTTTTTCTGACAGGGTTAGAGCGGAGAGGTCGATACAGTGGTTTGTGATCGTGTTGTTGGGAGGGAACAACATGACTTGTTATAACTTAAAGTTAACATATAAATTCAATTAATTATATTTTTCCAAAATGATGGTATAAAGTGGCAGGAAAATGCAGTTGTCAACACAACTATCTGTGTCAGTGATTAATGAGGTCGTCCTCTGGCTATTATTATGACATTTTGAACGTGATATTGAACGAACATCTTCACAGAACCGTGCAGCTAGAGAGAAAAATCCATCTCACATGTAGCATTTGCATTAAAAATGCACAAGACTTAACCACTCAGACACAGAATTGATGGACTCTGTCCTCGACATGAAAGGGTTGATATTTCTTTTTCCAGTTTCCTCCAGATTTCAGCGAAAGCTTCAATAAAGGAAAAGAAACAAGCACCAAAGGCTTGGAGCGTAATAGACCCTTCAAGTGTTGGCATTTTCACCACCTATTGTGCTTTAAAAGGCACACTTAAGATTCCCTGACATTTAACGGAGCTGCGATGGCTTCCTTACTCTGCTACCGAAGAGGAGCGATGCCCACGCTCGCCATACGAGCCGGGCGGTTTCCATGCGGGTGACTTCGCCTCCCCACCTACACGCATACCGCTGCACGACAAGTTCAGGTACAAATGAACGAAGTTGCTGACATTTTTTTCACTCTGCTCCTGTTTTGTATTTGTAATTATTTTTTCTATACTTGACATATGTTTTTTGCCTTTCAGGTACACCTGGACCTATATCTGGACCTGGACCTACACCTGGACCTGGACCTATACCTGGACCTGGACCTATACCTGGACCTACCATTCTGTGTTGGTCTGTCTCTCCTTCCTGTCCTCTCAACCAGCCGGTCAAAGCAGATGGTCTCTTGTCCTGAGCTGGTTCTGCTGGAGGTTTCTTCCTGTTAAAGGGAGTTTTTCTTTCCACTGTCTCCACTGTTCTTGCTCAGGATGGGAGACTGCAACGAAGCCAAGATTCAACTTGTCTGCTGGATTCCTTAGATAGAGAACTTTACTAACTGGCTTTATGTGAATGTTCCTGTAAAGTCCCTGAGACAACTTTGTTGTGATTTGGTGCTTTATGAATAAACTGAATTGAGTTGAATTGAATATTGCCCACGTCTGAACTACAGGACAGCCAGACAATGTTTGTCTCTGCTTTCATTGAGGCAGAAAATAAATACAGAAGTAAACCACTAGAAAAGATGGACAGCATTTATTGAAATGTCAAGAAAATCTTGTGTTTTTAGGTGTAGGAGTTCTGGTTCTTGTGTTGAGCCACTCACTCTCTCCCACAGTTTGCTGCAGGCAGCAATCAGCTGATTAGTTGCACCTGTTCCCTGTCTGGAGGACTGCTCTGCCAGACTCTCCTCCAGTGCTGGGACATTACCTTAGAACGGTAACGGTATGGTAATGTTCAGCCTTGTTGTCTTCAGACATTTTCTCCTACAAGCTTGAATGCTTTATGTTTCCAGTGACTTCCACGCCCTGCTTCAAACCAACCTTCCTAGGCCTCAACTACCAGTCAACGACCTCCAGCCTGCTCTTGCTCTCTCTGCTCCAACAACAACCAAACTCCTCAACAAAAAGGAACTCACCTTCTCATCCTGTGGCTGACTCTTCAGGAACCAGGACTTCACAGTGTGCTCCTCCAAAGATCCTGTTACAAGAAACTACCAGTAAGCTTATTCCTGTCTGCTTAAATATCACCTCATCTACGAGAGGACGGTCTGACTCACCTGGTCTCCCTTTTCCTTTGCAGCCCAACTCCCCTTTTCCTGAGAAAATGAACACAGATTATTTTTGATAAACGCTGTGCCTGTTTTCCCTTTTTCGGTTCTGCCATCTGGGGTCAGATGTGGATAAAACCATAACAGTAGGCGATTGTAGATCCAGGCAGATCATTAAGACAACACACATGTTTCTCCGTTTGATGGACATCTGGTAATGTTTTCTACAATCAACTTTTAATTTAAGATAAATAGATAAGAGAGTGGTGGCACAGAGGTTAGAGAAGGTGAACCTGTAATCAGAAGGTCACCAAGGCCCTTAACCCCACTATCTGCCCTAGATGACAGCTCTGTGCTCCACACAGAGGGCTGTGGTAGCTCTGTGGTCTGTGGGTGCGACAGGAAGGGCATCCAGCATAAAAACAATTGCCAATGTTTTGTGCGAGTGAGTTAGCTGTGGCGACCCCTGACGAACGGAGCAGCCAAAAGAAAGAAAAAATTAAAAAGACACATAAGAGGCTCTTTCGGACTGTGTAGACAATCATAGGTGTCCCATCCATTATATGTGAAGGGGATGTGTTCCACCCACATTAAAAAATCGTTCATTTGGACCCCCCTACTTTTACTATGAAACATTAGTTCAGTCGGCGCTGTTTGTCTTTGTGAACGAATCCTTTCCACTTGATTAACAGGAGAATATCCTGATGCATGCTCAATAATAGGAGAATACTCAAACCACTAAAAGTCCACTCCAGGTTTTCCTGGTTACCTCCAACTCTCCACCAGCCTGCAGTTGCTCCTCTGTGTCTCCTGCCTCGGCAGAGAACGCTCACAGGTGGAGGAGATGGAGACACCTCTGTGTTGAAGTTCAGTTTAGTGCGGGCAGTTGTTGACCAGGGGGGTTGATCATAAACATGTATACATGGTTAGGAGGATGCTTGAGATAAGAGGAGCGCTACGTCTGTAGCATGTTAGCTCAGCAGTAACTGTGACGCTGTGAGACGCTGCAGGTGGAAGAGACTGTGTGCTCAGGTGCACTAAAGTTATAATGTGTTTAAAACCCCACACCTTATTGTCCTCAAGCTTCATGAGAAACATCATTTAGATGAGGAGTGTTGAACACAAGTAAAAAAGTCCAGTGGTGATTTGTATTTCACTAAACACAAATAGTGCATTAAAGTTAAAATGTCTTTAAAACAGCTGAATTTACACAAACTTGGTGAGAAACATGCTTTAAATGGAATTAAAGTCAGGACATCTGGATGAAATGTTGCTTTTTTGTACTAGTGTACACTTTTAGCACACTGGTGCACACACACACACACACACACGCACACGCACACACACACACTATAGTGTCCCCCCCCCCACATTACAGATGCTTTTGATGCCCATGTAGACAATATTTTAAATACATCAAGAAAACACATTTATCAATGCAGAAGCTATTACAAAACAACTGAAAGAAAAAGAACAAGGTAAATCAATTTAATCCAGGTTCTTGACCCAGTTTTTAAACCTCCAGGAACGTTTTTCTGTGCGTATGTAAGACAGCAACTGCTCTTATCAGTGCTGAGTTCTTATCAGTGCTGAGTTCTTATCAGTGCTGAGTCACCTCCAATTAAAGAGCGTGTACAGTTGTGGCTGGACGTTTGATGAGTGACATGACAAAATCAGCAAGTGTAAAAGAAAAATACTTTCAAGCTCTTTAATTTTCTTACACAAAATCCAGTGCATCAGGTATAGAAATATAAATACATCTGAGAATAAGTTAGAGAATAAATACATTTTTCTTATTACATTATTTGTTGTTGCAGCAACAGTAAACATAAAGTTTTGTAAAGAGACCACGATCAGCGCACTTTCAGCTTTACAATGACTGCATGTTAACATAAGAAACTAATTCATGTTAACTGTTCAACTACTCTCAGCTAAGAAATGGAAAAGTGCAGGTCACAACTTCAGTGGTTTAGGAACTGCAAGTTTTTCTCTGATTATTTTCAGAGGAGTTAAATGAGCGTTCATCCAACAGCAAAAACAAGTGGTGCATTCTGGGCAAGCTGCACGATCAGTGAAACCTTCTGGCTTATCTTCAGTCAAAACATTACATAGGAGCTGCAGGCAATAAACTTTGAGTCATGACAATAAACCTACTGTTGCTGGGCAAACCAAAAATGGACTGGGTGGAACCGAGCGAACCGTCTGTTCCATAACCCCCCCCTTCCACCCCCCCCCAAATGACATTCATTTCATTATAACGGTGTGTGCCCAGAGGGAACGAGCTGCCTCTTAATTACAAATATACTTGTGAGTTTCTCTTAAACATTAAGCAGAACAGCAGATTCCAGCTCTGATACAGAGGAATTTAAAACAAACTAAAGATCAACAAGGAATAAATACAGACAAACTATTCCCAACTACTTTTACATGACTCTAGGATTTGTGACGCTCTTAGAATCCTCTTGAAGGTAAATATAAAATGTTAAACGGGTACTTTGTCCACTGAGTCTTTGGTCGTTGATAGATCAAAATTCCTGAAGACATTTAAAAATCTTTGCTTATGAAGCATCCTTCTTCGACACGTGGGCTAAAAGTAAACTTGCTTTTGTTCAGTTCAATGTCAGGCGATCCGTGTTCCTTCAGCAGGTGTTCATCAGAAGATCCCACTGGTCTCCTGTCGCCTTCCATGTTTTCACCCCTGCCTCTTCAGAGATGGTAGTACTTGGAAAGCCCAGAGGGGAAAGAAGCCAAAATCTGGATCCAAGAATACTGAACTTCTTTGAGCTTTCATTTGTTTGTTTGCCTTCTTGTTCTGTTCCGTGACTTTTCAACATCAAAAGAAGTCATTTTTGATGTGATCGACATGTTGGACCGAGCAGCAGATCTAAAGGAACAAAAAAAAGTTATGAGCTGTTTCTTGTTCCAGGATTACCCAATGAAATGCTCCAATTAGAGCTCTTAGATGTTTGTTTCAAACATTTACCTTAAGGAAGCCAGCAGTTTGTTGCTGTGTGTAGGTGTCGTAGGTGGACTTGAATCATTGGTCCTGCGGTCCTCCGAGCTGTGGAAAGAAGCAACACCACCATTAAACTGCGAACTGAAACCTTCCATTGGCTCAGGATATTAGGTCCTCAAAACACCGTACGACAACCCTAGAGCATCAGTCAGAAGGTGATTGCACTTGACTGAGTCTTCAAGTACTTATGAAGAGCTCAGGGGGCTTCTCACTATGTGATCTCTAGAGAGTAACCATTGCTGACTTTTCCCCTCTAAGACAATATGGTAAATGGACTGTACGTATACAGCGCCTTTTTATCTTATCAACATACTCTTAAGTGCTTTACAACCCAATCTGTGCCCTAATTTACCCATTCATACAGCACTCTACTATATCAGTACAAATGATAATCAGTGCCTTATCACATTCACACATCGATGGGACACTTACTGAAGGCAACGAGGGGTTCAGTGTCTTACATGTGGCTGCTGGTGGAACTGAATCCCCAACTCTCGCACTGGAGGACGATTGCTCTAACCACTCAGCCACAGCCACCCCAATAGTTCAGGATACACCAAAGTTTCCATGAAAATTCAAACAAAACATTTCAAGATGCCTTCTGAGTTAAAAGTCAGCATGACTTTAACAAAACTCTTTAAAGGACAATTCTAGAAATGGTAACAAATTCACATGGTCACAATACCCTAAAGACGCAACAAACACTCCCTTGAGTCAAAGCAGAAATGTAAGCATTCCACAAATAGCAGCACTGCTAATAAACATTTGTCATTTCTTTCAAGTCTTCCCTGAGAAGTGCAGGTGTGCCACTCCACCACCAGTGCTGCCCTCATCCTGCAGTCATTATCGCACTCTGCGATCATTTCTCCTCCTCTGACTCATCCTCATTGTCAACATATTTTTCACATGTATCATGCTAACCGAAAGGAGACACAGAAGATACTCTGATGTGATCTTACCCACATATGGGTATATGTAGGGTCGAGACTTTTATAGACGTTTACAGACGTTTATGCAGGGGAGGAAGATGGAAGAAGTCAGAATGAGACAGAAACTACAGCCACCTTTTATGACAGAAACCATGGCAGGTTATATCGGTAGGGTTGTTACATTTACATCGGTCGGCTGAGCGGCGGCGGCGAGACACAAGGCTTCCCAGGCCATAAGGGAGGAGGTTACTGTAAAACAAAAGGACAGTTTGAAACCTTTTGAACAGAAATTACAGTATAGTTCAATGCAACTGGAATAAGGATTAGGACCGAGGATGTCTTGTTAACCCTATCCTGATTCTGGAAACCTCACCTCGGAGTGTTGACCCAGATGATATCTAGGTGGCAGAAGTAAATACATTCTTTATCATCCCAGGTGTTACAGGAGCAGCGTTTGGTCCTGATGTGCTTTGGATGTGGCACCGGAACGGGTGCCTCTGTGTGGTCTGACAATGAAAGTCCACAACCTGGAAAACACAATGGAGATTACAAGAGGTCTTGTGTTGTGTGACTACATAGTGTGACTATCATACCGAGTCCAAGTTACCATTTTACCAAACGTGACAATAATATTGTGAATTTACTTTAAGTCAAACACTTGGTTCTTTCACGATGCAGTTATTTTAATATTCTTTAGTTTTTACTCAACAAAGATCTTTCATTAATGAACCTTTCACTCAAAATTCAGAAATGTTTAGGAAACCTGACTAAATCTGAAGAGTTGTGTTCTTAAAATAGACTTTAAAGACACTCACCTTCTTGCAGAACCATGCAGCTGATGAATAAATGGAGTATCTTGGACATTGTTGCAGTTCGTTGGTCTGGATGGGCAGCAGCAGCAGCAGTCAGTCACTCAGGAGTCAACAGATACTCGTTCTCAATGCTGGAGAGCAGCAACAGGTGCTTTGTGTTCATTTCAGCCAGAAGCGTCTGCTTATATCCCGCTCGCCACTCCCACCCCCATGGACTTGACTGTTGTTACACAAGACACACAGACTCCACCTGCCTCCACGCTCCCTCCACCTTCCTCACTAGAATGACACATAACATTCCAGCAGCGACCTTATTACTGTCAGAGCCCCCACAGGCAGCTGGGTGGAGGCCAGGGTGAATGATTTTTCCAGTCTTCCACTGAAGTTAAGATCTGAAGACTGAAAAGCTTTGCTGCTGCAGTCTGGATGCATGGTCAGGACTGAAATCCTCTCTGGACAAAAGGTTGAACTGAATGCAATGACATGAGTTATTTCATGTGAACAGACAGAGATTCAAACGCTCACAGTATGTGTGTGTTTGAATCTGCCTGAGTGAAAAATCATGATGACCACTAGAAGAGAGGAAATACTGAGCAAAAGTTGTGCGTATGTTTAATTTAGTTTTCAATTTTATTATTTTTTTATTAGATAGTTGACCTTTAGCAATTAAAATGCAAAAAAAAAACCAATATACATATAAATAATAAAATGTAAAACTAAATTAAACATACGCACAACTTTTGCTCAGCATTTCCTCTCTTCTAGTGGTCATCATGATTTTTCACTCAGGCAGATT